TGTCCTGTTGTTTTCAGTATTTTTCTAAAAATCAAAACTTTTGAAAAAAGCTCCATGAAGTTTTTGCGATATGAATTGTTATTGATTATAAGAAATCAAAGTGATTCAATCTTGCGTATAAAAAAACAATGAGAGATGTTCCAATTACTTCTTTAAAAAAATCATAAAGCAAGTACTTGACCCTAATCCTGCTAGGGGGGGGGGGGGTCAATTTGACCCACCCTGTGTTTTTTTACATAACTCAAAAAGTATTTGACTGAGGTTGTTGAAATCTTCTGACTTTTCCTAAATACCCAAAGCTCTCCCTTTAGGTTTAAAACCGGGCTTTTACACTAATTGTCTGAGTCCTCAGGCACACTGCCTGAATGACTACTTTTTGTAAAGCAAAGTAAATCTTTGTTTTGACCCACTTTCAGTTCAGGAAACGGATTGCACAAGTTTCTCAAAGAAATTTTTGCAAATTTTTTGTATACAATGTACAACCCTCAAATGAAAATTTGCAAACTTATAGTTTTTCTTAATTACACATAATGTTGTTTAAAGTTTTGCTAATTTTTTGCACATTTGAAATGGCATGGTCAATTAAAAATGTTTATTATATAATTTTTTGCAAACAATTTTACTATATACCTGGATTTTGAAAAAAATTCATTTTTTTTTGTAAATTTGCAAATTTATTTGCAAATACTAAAAGTTAAGCATAACATAAGAGCTTTTAAGTGATGTATCATTTGTCATATGTGTACATCAAACATGGTATTCAGAGGGCCCGTCAAATTGACCCTCCCCCGGCCACCAGCGTATCTTGGTTTTTAATATAAGGTGTAGGCGTTGCGACACTTCAAACTAGACTCTGATGCAACTTTTCGTAATAGCCTTGATCTATGTTGATTGCGTAATAAATGAAATAAAAAGGGTCAGCGCAAGAAATTAGAAATTTATAAAAAATAAAAACACACATTTGAACCTTTTGCCATAAATATTATGTTTTTGTTTGAAGACCCTGTGTAAAATATATTGTATTATTCTACAATAAGAGAAGTTGTAATGAGTACGAGTCCCCAGGGTGTAGGGGGAGGGGGGGGGGGGGTTAGATTAACTTTATGTGGAGAAAATATCAAGAAAATATCATTAAGAAGAGAAGAAAATAAAGTATATGAACACAAATAACAATCCAAATAAAATGGTTATACACTTTTCTTGAAAACTTTTTTAAATAGGTATTTTCTTTTCTTTTTTCATCAACCTGGTGTAATCTTTAAATTCAAGACATTTTATAACCTGGGGGTGGAGGGCGGTATGAGATCATTAAAATATTAAATTGACTATGTTAAAGAATTCATTAGAGGTATGTTTATGTATTGTTACTAAATAAAGTACTTTAAACTAAAAGCAAATTGGGTTTATTGTGAAAATTACCTTCCCAAAAATGCCTACAGATTAGTTTTTGACTATAGTATAGCCATCTAGCTTGAATTTGAAGTATGGATTTTGATTTGGTTTGATTTGTTATTGGATATGGTAATGATTGATGCTCAGCTACATTTTGCCTAGTCACAATTTGCCTGGTCACATTTTGCCTAGTCACAACTTGCCTAGTTCACTCTTGCCTAGGTAACATTTTGCCTAGGTAACTTTTTGCCTAGTTCAAGTTTGCCTAGTAACATTTTGCCTCGGGTAACATTTTGCCTAGGTAACACTAGAGCATGTTTTTTGACTTTTGCGTTTTTTTAAAACAAATTTTGTCAAAAATTAAACAATTTTTCTAGGCTTAATCAGTTAAATTTTACTGAATTAAATGTTATAGAACAATTGAATTGTATCTTGTCCAGCAATTTTAACATTTTTAATAGTCAACAACAGATGAAATATGGTTATATATCAGATATATACATATTTTTTAATTTCAGTTTACAACAAGGAGTATAGATAGGTATCATTATTTATCTTATTTCTCAATCACAGCCTTTTCTGTGGTCTTAGCATTAGTCTTCAGCAGCTTGTTGGTATGGCCATGGGTTGGGAGTACATCCCCTACCAGGTTTCCAGTAGATATCCTCGTTGTTAGGGTTGCAGTGTAAGAACAGCGCCATTTCTTGGTCTCTGCCCTCTTCCCATCGAAAACATAGGAGAAGTTATTCTTTTCCCTGTAGTTGGGCTTACCCCGAATGGTAAGCCCTGCAGTTATCATGGGAGCCATTTTCAATGTGTCTTTCGATCTGATTGGTTTATAGAAAATTGAACTATTTTTAAAAATTTGCGAAATTTTTGCCAAAAAATTTGCAGATTTTTGAACAAAATTCTCGGATTGTTGAAAATTTCTCTGTGAAAAAATTATTGACTAGGCAAAAAATTCGCTCTATTGTTACTCTAGGCAAAATGTTACCCTAGGCAAAATGTTATTAGGCAAAATGTTACCTAGGCAAACTGTTACCTAGGCAAACTGTGACTAGGCAAGTTGTGACTAGGCAAAATGTGACTAGGCAAATTGTGACTAGGCAAAATGTAGCTGAGCCATNAACCCTATCCCCGCTGGGGTACTTGAAAACCAGGATACGCTGGGGGGGGGTCAATTTGACCCCCCCCTCTAAATCCCATGTTTTATGTCCAAATATGACAAATGATACATCATTGGAAAGCCCTTGTCCTCTACTTTTATAATCTGCAAAAAAATATTTGCAAATTTGCAAAAATTGAATTTGTTATCGCAAAATCCAGCTATATAGTAAAAATGCTTGCAAAAAAAAATTTTTTCAAAAAAATGAAAAATTATACATTTTTGAAAAGCCCTTCACCATGCCATTTCAAATATGCAAAAATTTTTGCAAAATTTTAAATAACCCGATTTTTAAACAAGAAAAACTAAAAATGTGCAAATTTCCTTTGACAGGTTGTTTGCAAAAAATTTGCAATTTTTTTTCGCAAAACTTGTGCAATTCGTTTTCTGATGTCAAAGGCTTTCCAAAAAGCTAAATTTTATCAAAATCTGACAAGTGGAAGTGGGTCAAAAATAAGATTTAGTTTGTTACAGGAAAAAGCAGTCATTCAGGCAGTGTGCCTGAGGACTCAGGCAGTTAGTATTAAAGCCCGGTTTTAGGCCTAAAGGGAGGGCTTTGGGTATGTAAGAAAAGTCAGAAAATTTCAACAGCCTCAGACCAATACTTTTTGAGTTATGTATAAAAAACTACAAGGGGGGGGGGTCAAATTGACCCCCCCCCAGCAGGAATAGGGTTAATTTGCCCTTTAAAAACAAGTTTTACGATAGACAATATTCTTATTAGGTGGTCTAAAGTCTTATTGTGTGTGTCTAAATATCTAAAAAGTGTAAACTACAGGAAACTGTATCACCCTATATACTAAAGGATTATTGACAATATCTAGAAAATAAATATTTGTTTCTTTTATCCTTGAAAAATAAACATTTGGTGTCGCACTATTGTTCAGATAGATAGGGTTATCCACAAAGGATAAGACTTCAGTGACGACTCTACACTCTACAGCATTGTAATGTCTGTTTCCTTGTGTTTATGATTCCTGCAACAGAAGCACTTCCGTCTTTCTACGCAAATAATTTAATAAGTCATTTAAAGACCACATTCAAGGCAGAAGACTTAATTTAAACCTTCATCATCTTTGAAGAGTTTCAAGTGTCTTTCTAGTCAAATCCTTTGTGAGTAACCATGTAGATGATAAATGGGTTAGGTGGGGGNGAGAACCAACGACAAACTTCTAAAATAATGCGGAAAAGAAAATAAGAACTTTAGAAAAGTTAATCTCTAGCTCTCTAGCTGAATGATCAAAATCCAGAAAAAATCAGGTCTTCTGTGGCACTATGGGCTGGTAATTGAGGCTGAGTGCAGGAGCACAGAGGCCTAGTTCTACTGCTATACTTCCAATTAAAGGGACCAAGCGCTGCTGAAAAATGGTCCTTTCTATAGAGCTTATCTTTCAGGATTTTATATATCAGAAATCTCATTTTTGTAAATCTAAACCGATCGGGACCATTTTTTGTGTGGCGACTCCAGGAACTGTATATATGGTGCAGTCAACATTGAAAAATTGTGGAAAACGAATCTAAACAAAAAAATCCGAACATTTTTTTGTTTATTGCATGTGATGAAGCTTGGCGACTTTGAAAGTAACAAATTAAAGATAAAATTATTTATGCAAAAAGTTGCGCGAAGCGGCCTAAATTCTTCGAATACATAAAAGACCATAATTCTAAGTTTATTTCCACTTCTCTCATTGCTTAAAGTAGTTTTATTGCTAGTTTGTGGTGTAGAGAGTTGAGAGAGAGAGAGAGAGAGAGGGTAGAATTTAAGATTTGAGGTTTAAGTTGGAAACAAATGTTTGTATAAAAGTTCTATTAGATTCCAAGTGTTTTATTGTTCCCAGGGTGGACATATATACACTAACCCTGCCAACACATAGACTTACACTTTTTACAGGATAGATAGGTAGGTAGGTAGAATAAAGTCATAAGAAATTTGAGTTTGTAGCAAAACCTCAGTTCCTTTTCATCTAACATAATTTGTTGGGTTACTGAAACCAAATTTCATTATTCTTCAGATTTTTAAATTTGAAATTTATCATTCATCATCATTTGAAGACTTGATTAAGTTAAAATTTTGTTAAATTCAAGTAATGCCAATAGTTAAATGGAGAATCTCTTATAATTTCATACACAGTCTCTTTAATTATAAAAATGATTACTTTGTGCAGGTTCAGCGGTGGTTTCTTCTTCTTTTTTGTAGGGGTGTATATTTACTTGAAAAATCATCTCCCCCATTTGAAAATAATTTTTTCCCCAAAAGTCAGGTATGGTTTGGAGGAGCGAATTTTTTTTTCCAGTTACTCGCTGAATGAGTGAAAATTTATTTTTTAGGGAAAAATAAAATCATTCTTGGGCTAGAAGTATGTAGAGGGATGATAAAACTTTATGTCCAATTTTTTTATTTCTCTCCAGATCTGAAGGGTTGCAAATGTTAAAATGTACACCCCTGGTTTATTGTTCAGTTTTCCAAAAGGTTGTTGATTTCCAAGTATTGCTAAAATATAAGATATTAAATCCAAGATGTTTGTTACTGTTTTTTTACATTTTACCGTAACCTGGTGAAGTGTCATAAAACATTCAACACAGAATGCTACAATTCTTGTATTGGAGATGATAATTATCTGTAAATTTTATTTTAAAGTTGAAATTTTTCTACGCACCCTGTAAGTCTTGGTTGTTTGAACCCTCAGGAGTTGCAATGTTTATAGGTTTGTGTCCTGAATACAGAAAGAGTGGCTCGAATATCCCTGAATTCAATAGAATAATTCTCTATTTACCGTTGTCTAACTTTACAAGATAGGTTTTACAAGGTACTCGCTGAGCAAGATATTTCAAAAGCATAAATTAAATAACCTTTTTATAATTCTTTATGTAAAAAAATTTTAAAATAACTTTTTTTCTTGAAGAACCTTATATAGTTTCGAATGTGTATCCCAAAAATACCAAACCATTACTAGAATTAAATGGTATGTATAACATTAATGCAATATCAGGCTAATTTGTTGCATTTTGTTTATGTATTTGAGCTATTTATAAGCATTTTTTAATCTTTCCTGAGTTAGAAAAATAAAAGAAAATATTCCCAAGGTCCACTGGACACACATTTTAGTACTTCTGAAAAAAGCAGAGAAAAAAGTTTTTAACCAGTCATGAAGAGGATTTAGAAAAATTATGGGGGCAGAGCATTGCTGTAATTGATTGAGTTCAAAAAGATTTGAAGAAAATAACAGAGTTAAATTTGGTAACTATTTAAGCTTTTTTAAGTTGCCCAAATTTTTAGTAAAAGGTTGTAAGATATGAAAAATTTACAAGGGGGGGGCAACATATTGTATTATTTTTAAGCAATTTTAGTTCACTTTTATTGTTTACATTCACTCTTTAAAATTTGAAGAAATGAATTTACTAGTATTTCACAGTAGTTGAAAATAATGTTTGAAGTTAAGATTCATGCTTTGATGTGTAAAACTATTTAAGTAATATTTAATTAGTAAAGGTCCTTGGTGCAGGTAACTAATCATTTGAAGTGATTTAAATACTGTTATATAAACTAAAATGCTTTAGTTTGGCATAGAAAAGGCTTTGATTTCATTTATTATGTTTGTTATTATTTTATTTTTGTTATTATTATTTTTATTATTATAAATTTTAAATTTTCCAAAGTTTTAATAAATTCCACAGACAACTTTAGCTAACTAACAATATATGAATTGAAAATATGAGTAAATTGTTCTTAATCTTCATGGAATAAACAAATCCTCAGAACTGAAGAAGGTCAATCTGGACCGAAAAATATTTTTAAAATATGAAAAAAACATCTGCATTTATTTACCTTTTCTGATTTGAACCAACATGAATATTCAACAATACACCTTTAAATTAATGTAACAAGATCAGCCAGTTATGATGAATGATATCTGATTATTATACATTTATATGGGACCATAATGATTATTATTTGGGATTGGTGACCAAATTTAAAGAATAGAATTTCTGGTTTATGATCAGTTTAAATGTGCGAAACATATTTTTATATCTTTTTTTTTCAAGTGTAACTTTTAAATTTTAAACTTAAAATTTTGAATAATGAATAAGTTATTTTCTATTTTAGATTTGTTAATAACATGGTCTAGGCTTCTAGCCTTTTGAACATCCTGTTTCCCTACCATATGGTTCAAAAAACAAAATGACAAAACAAACCTTTGATTTAAGTCACAAGTTAAGGTGATTTTGTCAAAAATTAAAGCAAAAAAAACACAGAGATATTTGCAATCTGCATTCATTTGAAATATCCATTGTAAAAAGTTTTAACATTTATTTTTGAATTTTACTTTTAACCAAAATCTTAACAAAAACCACCTACTGCCGGCTCAAATTTGAACCACCAATTTGAAATTAAAGGTTATTAAGGAAGGATTTGATTTGGGTTAAATTAAAACCTTGGGTATGCAGTTCAAAATAATAAAATAAAAAACACACACAAAATTTCTATATAAATTCTGTCTGTCTGTTAGTTTGTATCCAATAAACGTTAAAACGGCTGAATTGATCGGGCCCAAATTTTTTGTGGGCCTCAAGTGAACCACAGGGAAGGTTTATGAATGATAAAAAATTAAAAAAATGTGTTTTAAAGGTTTTTAATTTTGTTAAAACATTTAAATTCTTGAAAATCAGAGAATTTTTTTTTAAAAATCTGCAAAATTTTTTTCTTCTTTGTTTTAAAATGTAAACAAAAAGAACATGTTCACAATTTAAATAGAAGATGGGCGTAAAGCGTCCTAAAAGCCTAGTGTTTTATAATTTAATACAAGCAGATACATTTTGCAAATTTACATTTTTTTATTGACTGTTCTCCAATCCATACATTTCATCAATTGTGAAAATTCTCTAAATTTGGTTTCATCATCAAAAGAACTAAATTTTCTTAAAAATCATCATGACAAATTTCGTGAAACTCTATAGTTTTATTTTAGTAAATAAATACAAGGAAAAATCATGCATCCTTGCTCAATACATATCTTTAAAAGTGATATATCAAATGTTTGTGGAAAAAGAAAATTTCTAAAATAATATTGTAAATTTATTATTTGTAAATAAAGTTATTGAAAAGAAAATAATCTTAAATAGGTAGATTTACAATACATTTTATGAATACAAGGAAAAAGAAAGAAGTTAAAATTGAGATGAGAAAAAGTTAAAAGAATAAAAACAAAAGAAAAAGAGATGAAATTGAGATGAACAAGCATTTAAAAAAAAGTAAAATAAGAGGAAATGAACTTAAGAAGAAGGACAAGATTAAAGAATAAAAAGAAAAGAAAAGGAGATGAAATCATGAGGTTAAAAAGTTAAAGAATGTAAGTAAAAATAACAATAAATAATAATAATGATAATAATAATGATAAATAAAATAAATAATGAAACATTGTGTTTGTGCATTGTTTAAATACTAGGGGTGAATGGTACGTTAAAGTCAGACAGTACATGGTACACGGTTACCCACTAAAGAGGATAATGTAAAGACGACTTGAAACTCTTTAAATAGGAAGGTCCCAAGGTTAAATTAGGCCTTCTTTCTTGAATTATAGTCTTTTAATTGATTATTAAATGATTTGATAAAAAATGTCTAAAGTTTAGGGAATCATGAATATAAAGAAACTGACTGTGTATATTTCGTACAGTCGTATCTGAAATCTCACCGTTTAACCATGAATTAATAAAACCAACCTGGGGGAAGAGGAAAATTAAGGATCAGACTACAAGGATAATGTGCATGATAATGGAGAAAAATTTTTTATCTTAAGATTGACAGATTAGAAATGTACAAAGAGGAATTCTGTGTAAGATGTCCTAAAGTGTTTGAAAGTGAATTTTCTATTTATTTATTTACTCAATTTAAACTTCTAACTTTACAAACAAAATGTTTAATCTTGAACATTTCAGTCTCCAACTCCTCCCACCCCAACTCAACAGCCTATCCCCTCCCCTCCCCCCTTTGTATTTCCTATGGATTCTAGATAATCTTTACCTAATAATGCCTACCACTCTTTTCCTTGCAATGTCTCTTTATTAATTTGTTTACTTTATTACTTGGCCTATTTTTGAGTACTAACAGAAACAATTATTTAAATAAAATATAAAAATAATCTTTTTATTAATATTTAAATAAATGTCTTAATGTTAACAATTAATTTATTCCCGGATGTCAAGGATTTTCCATCAAGCTGAACGTTTTTTCCTATAGCTGAGAGGATGGCCTCCTTCCCCTCGGGATTTTTAAGCCCCACTTTGTGCCCGTCCAGTGCCTTCTGATACTCCTCTGTAGTGACCGGGAACCCATTTATTGTGACAGGGCTTCCTTCTTCTGCTTTACGTATTGTGAAGAATTCAAAATCCAGGATTCTATCCACTAGGAAAATACAAGATAAATCTTACAGTTGTTGAAGTACTATCTAATTTGAAATAACTTTCTATGCAAATCAATTCTGTGTGTAAAAAGGAGAGTACCCATAAAAATGTTCAGTCTACTTAATTAGTGGTTATCTTGTCCTATCCATGTATTCTGTGGTTATCTAGCCCTATCTGTGTAATCTTTGGTTATCTTGTCCTATCTGTGTAATCATTGGTTATCTTGTTCTATCCGTGTAATCTTTGGTAATCTTGTCCGATCCATGTGATCTGTGGCTGTCTTGTCCTATTAATAAAATGTGGTTATTTACAATTGTTATCTCTCTTCAATGTGTTTAAAGTTTTTAGTTCAATGTTTTAACAAAAACTAAGATAAATTAAAATAAAAACAAACTTAAGACAGAAATGCTATTTTTTAAAAGTTAAAAGTATTTACTTAATGCTTGTTTATTGAGTATTAAATCTAAATATAAATGGCGGCTGTCATGCATACTATAAGAGACAGAAATTTTGCTCAAGTTCTACGCCTATATATTTGTGCAAAATCCTGGCTAATCAAACTAAATTAGATCTATTTTATCATTTAATTGTATTATTTTCCTCTTATATTCTACCTAAAGTGCAGGGTTTAACATTTTTAATCCAATCTGCAGTTTTCAAATCATCACTCATTTCTAAAATTAAGTATAAAATTCACTTTTGTAATTTCCATTTTTTTTTGTAGTTTGGGAATTGGGAACATTATAATACAAAATGGAGAGGATGCTGTATGAGATTAAAAAACAGGGGATTTTTTATCAGTTTTTAAAGTTATATGGTTTGATAAACATACCAATAAATTCCTATTCATCCAATCAATTTTTATAAATGATCTTAATTCAAAATTTAAAGTTTAATGCAGAAAATAATTTTGTGTTACCCGTACTCATTACTCCAGGTTTGCAGGTGTTTGAATCTAAAATATTTTTAAATTAGAAATTTAAACTTTTTGGAAAAAAGAAAAAAATTGTAGAATTTAGCGGGACTATAGATATATTTTCAAGTAAACCTCATGAGTGGCATGTACATTTTGAAACCATGCCCTTAAAAGATTGATATGATCAAGAGTGAATATTGAATAAGATAGCCATAATGTAATTTTAAAAATAAAATTTTTTTTGTGGTTTCTCCAGATTTCTACAGTAAAAACAATGTAGATAATTGTGAGAATGACAATATCTTCAACTCCAGTGATCATGAAAAGGTTTGGTACCATTGTAAATCGTCCATCACTATATCAGATATGCTCTGATTTTCTTAACCCCACATCTTTGCAACCCAAAATTTGATAATTCAAATTATTTTGTTAGATCAAACAATAAAAATGAACTGAACTGAGTCTTTGCTATAAACTCTGATTTTTTAATCCCTATATGTTTACAACCTGATGGTTTAAACTTTTAATCAATGTAACATAATTCAAAGTTTGAAATATCAAAGATCTCCAAGATTGGGTTGCCAAGATATAGTGCTATGAATTCATAATTTTTGCAAAGACTCAATTCCTTTTTAAGTATTAAAAGTTTACATCATCTGATTACTATACATCGATAAAGTCATAAGAAATTTGAGTTTGTAGCAAAACCTCAGTTCCTTTTCATCTAACATAATATTTTGGGTCACTGGAGCCGAGTTTAATTTTGGAGAATTATTATTTAGATTTTTAAAACTGAAATTTATCATTCATCATTATTAGAAGACTTGTACTCTACATTAAGTTAAGATGGGTTTAGGTGCCCCAACAAATTTTGTTAAATTCAAGTAATGCCAATAGGTAAATGGAGAGTCTCTTATAATTTTATACTCAGTCTCTTTAATTATAAAAATGATTACTTTGTGCAGGTTCAGCAGTGGTTTCTTCTTCTTTATTACAGGGGTGTATATTTACTTGAAAAATCATCTCCCCCATTTGAAAATAATTTTTTCCCCAAAAGTCAAGTATGGTTTGGAGGAGCGAATTTTTTTTTTCCAGTAACTTGCTGAATTAGTGAAAATTTATCATTTTTAGGAGAAAATAAAATCATTCTTGGGCTAGAAGTATGTAGAGGGATGATAAAACTTTATGTCCAATTTTTTATTTCTTTCCAGATCTGAAGGGGTAAATGTTAAAATATACACCCCTGGTTTATTGTTCAGTTTTCCAAAAGGTTGTTGATTTCCAAGTAGTGCTAAAATATAAGATATTAAATCCAAGATATTTGTTACTGTTTTTTTTACATTTTACAGTAATCCTTTTGGTGAAGTGTCATAGAACATTCACTAACGGTATGTTACAATTCTGATTGAAGATGCTAATAACCCTGTACAATTTTTTATGAGAATTTGAAATTGTATCTCATAAAAGCAAATCCCCCCCCTCTCCCCATTATAAATAAATATTATGGCGGTTTCCTAGTTACAAAATAGTAGATTTCCTTAAAATATTTATGCGTTTTCCTTTTGGAATAGAATGCTTGATTTCCAGATACAAAATGGAGGTTTTCCTTTTATAAAATGGTTGTGTTCCTAATATAATTTCAGAAAATTGCAGTTTTCCTGATAGACAACAGCGGTTTGCCTGATACAAAATGGGGGTTTTTTTATTCGAAATGACAGTTTTCCATGTACAAAATAGTGATCTTTTCCAAAATACAACATCGGCTTTCTTCAAACAATTAGTGAGTTTAAAAAAACAAAAAAACTAAAAAACAGTTCTTTTCTTGGAAGAATATTGCAATAATTGTAACCTGATATCTCATGTAAATTGTATTGGTGGTCTAGGTCTTGGTAGTCTGCACCCTCGGCCTCAGGAGTTGCAATGTTTATAGGTTTGTGTCCTGAATACAGAAAGAGTGCCGCGAATATCCCTTAATTCAATAGAATAATTCTCTGTTTACCTTTGTCTAACTTGATTAGATAGGTTTTACAAGGTACTCGCTGATTAAGATAGTTTAAAAGCATAAATAACATTTGTATTTTTTATTTAAAAAAAGTTTTTAAAATAAATATTTTTCTTGCAGAACCTTAAGTTTCGACTGTGTATCCCAAAAATACCAAACCATATGTAATACACAAAATGATTATTAATTCATTGCATTTTTCGTAATTATGTATTTGAGCTTTTTAAAAACATTTTTAAATCTTTCCTTAGTTAGCAAAATGAAAAAAAATATTCCCAAGGTCCACTGGACACACATTTTAGTACTTCTGAAATAAAATAATGATAACATAATCAGCTGTTTGCCATGCCTTGCACAACTTGGGGTCCGAGCGCTGCTGCTACCGAGACGTTTTTTAATTGATTTAATTCTGAAAGATTTAAAGAAGAAAAAGAGTTAAAGAAATTTCAAAAATCTGATAAAAATATTTGCTTTTTAAAGCTAACCCCATTTAGTTAAAGTTTGTAAAATATAAAAATTAAATGGGGGGGGGGGGTTTAGGCAACACATTCTATTATTTTAAGACATTTTCAAATCACTTTTATAGTATGTACCTTCATTCTTCAATTTTTAAAATTTGTGTAAAATGAGAACTAGTATTTCACAGTAGTTAAAGATAATATATGTAAATATATTTAAGTGATATTTAATTAGCACAGGTAACTAAATATTTGAACTGATTTAAATACTGTTATATAAACTATAATGCTTGAGTTCGGCATAGAAAGGGCTTAAATTTCATTTATTATTGTTATTATTATTATTATAATTATTATTATCATTATTATTAATGTTAATATTATTATTGTTATTATTATTATTATTATTGAATTATTATTATTAATTATAAATTTTTTAATTTTCCAATTCTTTATTAAAATTCTACAGGCAACGCCGGGCACTTCAGCCAACTAACCATATATAAACTGAAAGTATGAGTAAATTGTTTTTAATCTTCATGGCAGAAACATATCCTCAGAGCTAAAGAGGATCAATTTGGACCGAAATATATTTGTAAAATATGAAAACAAAATCTACATTTGAACCAACACAAAAATACATTTTTAAATGAATGGCAAAAGATCATTACGAATGGTAACTATAATATGGGACTGGTGACTTTTTTTTGGGACTGGTGATTACTATTTGGGCCTGATGATTATTATTTAGGACTGATGATTATTATTTAGGACTGATGAGTATTATTTGGGACTGCATGGTGATTAATATTTGTGACTTGTGACCGAATTTAACGAATACAATTTTTGGTTTTTGATAAATCTAAATATGTGAAACATACTTTCACATTTGTTTTCAAATGTAACTTTTAGATCTCTATTTTTAAATAATAAATAAGTTATTTGCTATTTTAGATTCGTGTAAAACACCATCCAGTCTTTCAAACGCCGTGATCCCTACCATCTGGTTAAAAACTTAAAAATCAAAAAAACTTTGAATCGGGGTGATTGCATTCAATGGAAAATATTCATGGTAAAATGCAGGCGCCTATACAGGAATTTAGCCAGTGGTGGGAAAGATTTCGCGCGGATCGCGAACAAATTTTTTTCCCCCCCCTGGCTTTTTTTGCCCCCCTGGAATTGTTTTGGGAATTGTTTTGTTCAAAAAGTCAATTAACACCATAAAAATACATAAAAAAAGTATTTTTTGGGGTGCTACCAACCTTATAGTGTCTAAAAATTATTCCATTGCTCGAAAAACTAACTTTAACTTTTTACCTTTATAAATTTATAAATTTATCACTTAACTCCATCACAGATAACTAAATCAATAATCACAGCATCATTAAAATATTATATTTTCACCAATAAACGAAATTTCTTCTGAAATTTTTAGATAGAATTTACTCCATCTACATGTTCACCAAATCTTTTAAGCTACAATTTTCTTGGATTTGCTTGCACAACATTTCAATCATTTTCTCAGTAGTGAGCCATAAGTGCAAAGTCTGCTCTCCGTCATAGTACATCTTGTGTAATGAAGTATTCTCTTAAGAAGGCTAAAACTTCTCTTTCCTTCATTCGATGTTATTGTCATCATTGCATAAAGGGGAACTTGAAATTACGCTTAATATCTCTTTATGGAAATAAAAGAATTGAGTCTTTACCACAAACTCTGATTTTCTAATCACTATATCTTTGGGACCAAATGTTGTAGACCTTAGATATTTCAAACTAAGAATTCTGTTAGATCAAATATTCTGAATTTGAAATAGCAAAGGTTTACAACATCAGGTTCCAGAGGTTTGAATATTTAAGTTTGTGGCAATGACTCAACTCCTTTATTAATTGACTGTAAGAAAAAATAGAAAAATTGAAAAAAGAATACCTTTATCACATCTTCCATCATCTTATATATAAGCATCTAATATGTAGAGGTCTCGTTTTTGCAGAAGTTTTAGTTTTAAATATCTTAGAATTTTGTATTAACTGTGAATTTAGACAAATCTTTAGTCTTTGTCATTGTCCGGTGTTACTTTTTAAATTTGTTTCCTTTAGAAGTGGATGTTGGGGGTGGGGGGGGAGGGCAGTATTAAAAGTAGGTATAGGGTGGTTAAGTAACCAAATCTAATGGAGAGGACTGACCATAGAATTCACTGGGGAAATGGTACATGGTTTAAAATATATACATAACAGGATATTCTATATAATAAAACAAGACTTTCATATATATATGTTGTGTATACCCGGCCAAACGGCTGGACCGATTGCGCTGAATTTTTTTATTTTATTTATTTTATTTTTTAAAATTTTTGTGCACGGTCAACGCAGGGCTATTCAGCTAGTATATTATATAAAAAGATAGTTATTTAAAATATATAGATATATAGGTACCATGGTATATAAATATATAAAGATATATCGTTAGACTAATAGAAATACAAAGACTAATAGAAACAAAACGAAAATACCTATTTCTGTGAATCCCGAAAAATAAATCATAGCTTTTTAAAAGTATAAAATCAGCTTACATTCGACATTTTTAACAGTTTTGTGGATACAAACGCAGGACCTCCATTTTCAGTTAGAAAAACAAGAATATCTGTGATTCAGATATGCAAATTAAACTTTAAAACAAAAATCTTTTAGTATTTTGCCTCTTACGCTTTCAGCTTTGAAAGGTTTATGTTCAGGTCCTAGGGCTAGGCACGTTCAGACTTTTTCAAGCCGTTTGTTAACGGTAGTTAAAATTGTTAAATAATACCTTTTAATTTAGCCGTTCGTTCTTTAATTAAGATCTGAACGTTGCGTTCGTTACCGGTATTTTCCGTTCTTTTTAAAAGTTACAATTTCTTAACGATATACATTTTTGTTCATGTAAATTTAATCAGTAAAAGAAAGAAAGTCGCCGTTATTTTGAAACACATTCGTTCGTTAATTTTTATAAACCGTTCATTTTTTTGAAGAATGGCTTGTTAAAGATGTCAAAATTAATGGTTTATGCCGTTCGTTAACGGAACGTCGCTGAGACCTTCAGCTGGCTGTAAAAAGGTATAATATGTTTCAAACCTTGCTAAACTTTAAAGTTTGTGCAGTATAATTTACCGATAACGATATTTATTTTTAGCATTACCAAAATATTTTTATCTATTTTAACAAAGAAAGTTAAACCCAGGGTTTAAATATTGTGGTTTGTTTCTCTCCTGACGTCATTGATTTCCCATCCAGCATCACATTAAACCCATACACGGTTAGTAAACTTTTCAAACCATCTTTCTTCAGGGTTACAGGGTTCCCTTGCACCGCCTGAATCATAAAAATTAATTTGTTCAAAATTAAAAAACATAACTTTAGGAATGTTCAAATTATTGATTATGATCAGAACAAAATGATCATTTATTTAAACAAAATGTTCAGTATCGAACAAAATATTCATTTTTTTCATCAAAGCGATAATTATTTTTAACAAAATATTTACTATTTCGAACGAAATGTTTAATATTTCGAACCATAATATTTATAAGTTCGGAGAAAATGCTCATTGTTCCGAACTTAATATAAATAATTTCGGACAAAATGTTCATTATATTTTACAAAATGTTTATTATTTTGAACAGAACCTGGTCGAACTCCTCAGCAGTGATAGGAAACCCATTGATTGTTACTGGAGACCCCTCTTCTGCTCTCCGTATATTAAACTCGTTATTATCCAATGTTATTGTAACAAGTGTACACGGCTTAACAGAGTCTACCCAACCACCAGTAGTGAAGTTACTTTTCATATCTAAAGCAAACAAAAATACAATTATCTTTAAATGGACTGTGGACTGTGGAGTGTGGGTGCTTAAAGTGACCCTCCATGCAAAGATGGCATAGGCCTGATTTACAACAATAGCTTTAAAAACCCTTATCTGATCAATGATGAGGAAGATTGTGTCGTTTTTCAAGGTTAAAGAAAAATTTAATTCTTACAATTTATAATATCTGTTTTCCTGCAGTAGAATTCCCCAAGTCACTTTAGTAGAGAAACACAATTTAACAAATCACTGAAAACAATTTTGTGACCTCGGAGCTCCTCTGGTTTGGTTTTTACGCATAAATAAAAGAAAAGCAACTTGATCTGCTTACAAATTTAAGATTTAAAAAAAATTGTTCTTCTCAATAGCTTTTCAATCAGAGGAGTTCTGACTGAAAATATATGAGATTTTAATCTTTCGTCACTGCAAACCAAGATGGTCACACTTTCATGAATAAATTTAGCATTGTTTTGCCAATTACTTGTTTTAAACTAGAAACCAATGCATTGGAATATCAAAGTATGTATGCCCATGGCTACAAAGGTCAAGGCGTGGCGACATCTAAAAGTCGAGTTTGTCTAAAAATTTGATGACTAACTTTCAGAGCTATTTACACGTGTTATTTACTTTAGTTTGACGTGACAAAGCTATTTATAAAGAAAGAAACTGAAACTAGGCTAATGGTTCAAATATTTCTCTAATAATAATTGTGACGTAAATTCAAGATTTAGAAATTCGAAGATATCTGTCTTTATTATTGTTGATCTGATAAAGGTTAAAAGGTTACCATTGAAAATCTTTAATACTGGAGAAATTAAAAATTAAGAATAAAAATAAAACCTAAGTACTTCAGAAATTAATTAATTTATACCTCCTTCAATTCCGGGTACACAGGGGCCTTTATGATCTATAATAATAATAATAATAATAATAATAATAATAATAATAATAATAATAATAGTAGAATAAAAACAAAAACAAATATCCTTGTCTCAATTTCCCCTTAAATTATCACTAAGAATTCTGTTAGATCAAATATTCTGAATTTGAAATAGCAAAGGTACCCCCCCCTACACCCTGCCAAGTATGGAGATTGTATCTTCTTGGAGCACTTTTTAACATATTACAACGATGTTTAGTTGTCTAAATGACCTAAACACATACTTTTCAGAGACATAGAAGGAGACACCGAAGGAGACACCAAAGGAGACACAAAAGGAGACGCCGAAGGAAACACTGATTGAGACACTGAAGGATACACCGAAGGAGACACCGAAGGAGACACCAAAGGAGACACTGAAGGAGACACCGAAGGAGACACCGAAGGAGAAACCAAAGGCGACACCAAAGGAGACACCAAAGAAGACACCGATGGAGACACCGAAGGAGACACCAAAGGAGACACTGAAGGATACACCAAAGGAGACACCAAAGGAGACACCGAAGGAGACACCGAAGGAGACACCGAAGGAGACACCGAAGGAGACACCGAAGGAGACACTGAAGGAGACACCGAAGGAGACACCAAAGGAGACACCGAAGGAGACACCAAAGGAGACACCGAAGCAGACACCGTAGGAGACACCGAAGGAGACAACGAAGGAGACACCAGGGAGAAACTGAAAAAGACACCAAAGGAGACACCAAAGGAGACACCGAAGGAGACACCGAAGGAGACAGTGAAGGAGACACCGAAGGAGACACCAAAGGAGACACCAAATAAGACACCAAAGGAGACACCAAATGAGTCACCGAAGGAGACACCAAAGGATACACTAAAGGAGACACTGAAGGAGACACAAAAGGAGACACCAAAGGAGACACCAAAGGAGACACCAAAGGAGACACCAAAAAAGACACCAAAGGAGACACCGAAGGAGACACTGAAGGAGACACTGAAGGAGACACAAAAGGAGACACCAAAGGAGACACCAAAAGGAGACACCAAAGGAGACACCAAAGGAGACACCGAAAAAGACACTGAAGAAGACACCGAAGGAGACACTGAAGGAGACACCGAAGGAGACACCAAAGGAGAAACCAAAGGAGACACCAAAGGAGACACCGAAAAGACACTGAAGGAGACACTGAAGGAGACACTGAAGGAGACACCGAAGGAGACACCAAAGGAGAAACCAAAGGAGACACCAAAGGAGACACCGAAAAAGACACTGAAGGAGACACTGAAGGAGACACCGAAGGATACACTGTAGGAGACACCAAAGGAGACACCGAAGGAGACACCGAAGGAGACACCGAAGGAGACACCAAAGGAGACATCGAAGGAGACACTGTAAAGGAGACACCAAAGGAGACACCGAAGGAGACACTAAAGGAGACACCAAAGGAGACACCGAAGGAGACACCGAAGGAGACACCGAAGGAGACACCAAAGGAGACACCGAAGGAGACACTGTAGGAGACACCAAAGGAGACACCGAAGGAGACACTGTAGGAGACACCAAAGGATACACCGAAGGAGACACTGAAGGAGACACCAAAGGAGACGCCGAAGGAGACACTAAAGGAGACACCAAAGGAGACACCAAAGGAGAAACCGAAGGAGACACTAAAGGAGACACCAAAGGAGACACCAAAGGAGACATCGAAGGAGACACTAAAGGAGACACCAAAGGAGACACCAAAGGAGATACCGAAGGAGACACCAAAGGACACACCAAAGGAGACACCAAAGGAGACACCGAAGGAGACACTAAAGGAGACACCAAAGGAGACACCAAAGGAGATACCGAAGGAGACACCAAAAGAGACACCAAAGGAGACACCGAGGGATACACTAAAGGAAACACCAAAGGAGACACAAAAGGAGAGAACGAAGGAGACACCAAAAAAGACACCAAAGGAGACACCAAAGGAGACACCGAAGGAGAAACTAAAGGAGACTTCGAAGGAGACACCGAAGGAGACACCAAAGGAGACACCAAAGGAGACACCAAAGGAGACACCGAAGGAGACACTAAAGGAGACACCAAAGGAGACACCGAAGGAGAAACTAAAGGAGACTTCGAAGGAGACACCGAAGGAGACACCAAAGGAGACACCAAAGGAGACACCAAAGGAGACACCGAAGGAGACACTAAAGGAGACACCAAAGGAGACACCGAAGGAGACACCAAAGGAGACACCAAAGGAGACACCGAAGGAGACACCAAAGGGTTTAAATGTTAAATCCATTAAAAGTCCTATTTAGTTTCTTTACCAAACTAATAAAAGGATTCAAGATTTTTTTTTCCCTTTTCAGAGCTTCTGGCGACAACAAAGGAATTGGATCTTTGCCACAAACTCTGATTTTCTAATGCCAATATTTTGCAACACAGTGTATTTGACCTGAGAAATTTCAAACCATGGATTTTGTTAGATTCAATAATCTAAATATGAAAAGTTTTCACTGTCAGAAATTGCAAAGATAAATTTGAGTTTGTGACTGGGACTCAATTCCTTTGTTTACTTACTCCACCCAATCCCTACAGTTCAATACAATAAGTATCTGCAGAAAGAAAAAAAATTCAATTTTATTTATAATCAAATACCTTTTTTCTCTTTTGTTTTTGTTTGATCGGGGTTTCCAGATTTCTTTTTATTAATTTTAGTTTCTTTATCTGTTTCAATTTCAGCTTTCTTATCATCTAAACATTTTTTGTTCTACTCTTTTTTCCTAAAATCCTTTAAACTTCCCTTCATGCTTCTTGGATTCTACGGAAATAAGTACATTGACTGTAAAAACAGAAAAATGTTTATTGTATTTTATTAAACACTAGGCTTTAATGAAAAAAATTTTGCCCCTGAAAAGTTAAGATTTTGAAAATCCACCAATCCAAACAGAAAAATCTTCAAAATTTCAATTATTTTTACCTTTTCTAATTTCTTTTTCGTTAATATCGCCACTTCCAGACTCATTTTCATCGTCTTTAACTTTATCTTTATCATTTTTACTAGCTTCAGCTTTTTTTCCATAATTTTCGTTATCATAATATTCATCATAACTAACTTTTTCTTCATCTTTTTTATTATCTTCAGCTTTTTCTCCGTCTTTTTCATTATCTTCAGCTTTTTCTCCGTCTTTTTCCTTATCTTCAGCTTTTTCTCCGTCTTTTTCCTTATCTTCAGCCTTTTCTCCATCTTTTTTATTATCTTCAGCTTTTTCTCCGTCTTTTTCCTTATCTTCAGCTTTTTCTCCGTCTTTTTCCTTATCTTCAGCTTTTTCTCCATCTTTTTCATTATCTTCAGCTTTTTCTCCATCTTTTTGATTATTTTCAGCTTTTTCTCCATCTTTTTCATTATCTTCAGCTTTTCCTCCATCTTTTCCATTATCTTCAGCTTTTTCTTCATCTTTTTCATTATCTTCAGCTTTTTCTCCTTCTTTTTCATTATCTTCAGCTTTTTCTCCATTTTTTTCAATTTCTCCAGCTTTTCCTCCATCTTTTTCATTATCTTCAGCTTTTTCTCCATCTTTTTCATTATCTTCAACTTTTTCTCCATCAATTTCCTTGACATCTACTTTATCATTTTCAGTACCAACGGCTCTGTCCTCATCATTTCTAACTAAATATTCATTCTTTTACCCCCGATGTTTATTTATCGAAACTTCTCAAATCCACATGTTTCATTGGGGAGCCAAATGTTCACTTTGATTTCATTTCATACCTGCTGAAACTATTTACCTTTTTTTGACCTAAATACTGAATTCACACGATTTTTTGAGACTTCTTTTTTATCTTCAGGATTTGCTTCAATGTCAGTATCTTCTTTCTCTAAAATAATGTTTTAAATTGTTTTATCATCCTTCTGATATTCATATACGAGATGAGATAATTTATATACTTTTTTTACATGTACATAATATACTTTTTGTTGATAAATTATACAACAAAGACTTTCGAAAATATCCTGTTAAAGTAGCATTGTTTTAAAAACGATTGAATGAGCCTGTGAAATCTTAAATGTGATCAATTTTCATTTGTTATAATTGCAGCTTGCACAATGCACGTAGGAATTAACATTGTTCAGAAACTATTTTCAAGACGATCGCAATGCGTTTTAAAAATTGGCGTTGGAGATAGTTTTTTCTTTTTCTCGCTTTTTGTTCAGAAAAAGAATGAATTGCTTGCCACAGTTTTTTTCTCGTATATGTCCCTGATATATTTGTTACCAAATGTCGTGGAACTTTGATCATCAAACTATGAGTTTACACCGAGGAGAATAGAATATAATGGAGCGGGACGACCACCTCTCCATTTTATTCCATACACCATCAGATTGCAAAGATATATATAGTTTAGAAAATAAAGTTTGTGACAGTTTGTTTTTACTGTCTGATGACTCGGTTTTGTCACCTTTAGATTTGACCGGGGTTTCATCATCTGAAATAAACAATAAAATGCTGTAAAGCATAATTTATCAAAAAAAATTCAAATTTTTTTTTAATTACCAGAATCTAGTTTTTCTTCTTTTAGACTTGGATATTCTTCTGTTTCTGTATTTTCTTAAATTAAAATTTTGATAAAAAATTTAGATTTTTAGATCTGATAAATTTGAAAAAAACTTACTTTCTTGTTTATTTTTACCTAAATCCTTTTTATCAAAGGTTAAAAGTGTGTTGTCCACCACTGTGTATTCGTCTTCAGATTCCAGTTCTGGGTCAATGTATGAGTCTGAAAATGTCCTTTTTTATTTGATCATTGTGGTTTTTGTTTTGTTTTACAATGTATTCAAAGAGAAAATTTTCACAAATGAAAAAGAAAATGGGTGAGAAGCCCCCTCAAAGCCTGGTAAAAGTATAAAAGAGAAAAATAAGAAATTATGTTTAATCGGTCAAATTAAGATCGGAATGTTGTTGGGACTAGACAGAACCTCTATCGAATGGATAAATCAAATATTTATTTTATATCACAAAACTCCGATAGATATAAAAATAGAAAATGGAATTGAAAAACTTACAAAGTTTTTTTTTCTCAAATTGTACTAAAATATGTCTATTTTTGAGTTTAAAACATTTTCCTAACAATCTTAATGTAGGAAAAATTAAGTGTAGGACAAATAATGTGCAGGACAATGATGTGTAGGACCAATGATGTGTAGGACAAATGATGTGTAGGACCAATGATGTGTAGGACAAATGATGTGTAGGATAAATGATGTGTAGGACAAATGATGTTGAGGACAAATGATGTTGAGGACAAATGATGTGTAGGAAAAAAGATGTGTAGGAAAAATGATTGTAGGACAAATGATGTGCAGAACAAATGATGTGTAGGACAAATGATGTGTAGGACAAATGATATGTAGGACAAATGGTGTGTATGACAAATGATGTGTAAGACAAATGATGTGTAGGACAAATGTTGTGTAGGACAAATAATGTGTAGGACCAATGATGTGTAGGACAAATGAAGTATAGGACAAATGAAGTGTAGGACAAATGATGTGTAGGACAAATTATGTGAAGGACAAATAATGTGTAGGACAAATGATGTGCAGGACAAATGTTGTGTAGGACAAATAGTGTGTAGGACCAATGATGTGTAGGACAAATGAAGTATAGGACAAATGATGTGTAGGACAAATTATGTGAAGGACAAATTATGTGTAGGACAAATGATTTGTAGGACCAATGATGTGTAGGACAAATGATTTGTAGAACAAATGATGTGTAGGAAAAATGATGTGTAGGACAAATTATGTGTAGAACAAATGATGTGTAGGACAAATAATGTGTAGGAAAAATAATGTGTAGAACAAATGATGTGTAGGAAAAATGATGTGTAGGACAAATGATGTGTAGGACAAATGATGTGTAGGAAAAATGTTGTGTAGGACAAATAATGTGTAGGACCAATGATGTGTAGGACAAATGAAGTGTAGGACAAATGAAGTGTAGGACAAAGGATGTGTAGGACAAATTATGTGAAGGAAAAATGATGTATAGGACAAATGATTTGTAGGACAAATGATGTGTAGGACAATTGATGTGTAGGACAAATGATGCTTCCCCCGCTCTGTACGACAAATGATTTGTGGGACAAGTGATGTTTAGGACAAATGATGTTTAGGACAAATAATCGTAGGACAAATGACATGGCACCACCAAAAAAGAATATCTGCATTAGAAGCACTAGGTTGGCAACCCAGCATTGCCTGTAAAAGTCAACCCCCTTAACTTCAAATTTTCAATTCATAGATCCAACAACAATTTAAGTAAATTAAATTAAAAATGTAAATTAAAACTCAAATCGTGAAGTGACATAGACTTTCTTAGCGGATTTCTATACGAAAATCGACAATAATATGTCCTAACAGTATTTAGAAATGAACGAATGACGGCTCTTTTTATAGATTTTCCCTCAACTTTGGAATTACTTAAACGAAAGCAAAACTATTATTTTTTTTTGTATTTTACCTATTTTCACAAAAGAAGTGGAGCCTTTCTTTGGTTCATCTGGTTGCGGAGCTGATAAAACATTCTTGAAAACAAATAGATTTAAATAGTCTGAGAACATGATAAAACACTTGTCACAAACTCTATATTTCTAATCCCTATATCTTGGCTAACTGATGGTGTAACATGTAAACCTTTTTGATATCTAATTGACCTCTGACATTAGAACATTAGAAAATAAGAATAAGATAATGGTAATCAAATTCTTACCATTTTACAGAAAGATTGCATTAGTCAAAGAGTATGCAGCATTATATAGTTTAGATTAATTTATATTACGATAGTCATAGAGAATGCAGGATCATAGAGTTAAAGATATATTTAAAATAGTCATAAAAAAATGAAGGGTTAAAGTTTTAGATAGATTTTGTAGCCACAAAGAATGCAAGGTTATAGAGATACTGATAGATTTCAAAAGTTATAGGGAAAGGATTTATAGAGTTAAAGATAGAATTCAATAGTTATAGAGAATGCAGGGTTATAGAGTCAAAAATAGGTTTCAATAGTCGCAGAGAATGCAGTGTTATAGATTTAAAGATAGATTTCAATAGTTATATAATTGGGAGGATTTTAGATTTTAAGATACATTTCAATTTTTATAGAGAATGCAGGGTTTATAGAGTTAAAGATATATTTAAACTTTAATATAGTTATAGAGATACAGATAAGTTGTGCTATTAATCGCATTGACTCTTTGATTCTTCTTCTTTTATTTACAGAAAAGGTGATTAGTTTTCTCTCTCTCCCCCCCCCTCTCCTCCTGAACCCAAAATTTCTTTCATTGAAAGATTTCTTAAACTATGTATTAACAGATCCATCTGTTCGTGGAGTAAGACAAGTAAAATGAGAATATATTTCCCCTCATGGACTCCTGGTTCAACACTATTTATCAGAATGATCAAAGTCGCCATCTTCTGTTTCTTTCCCTTAGTTTTGGATGGGATGAATAGTAAGAAGAATACAGATTGTTTTAAATGATTTTAATTAATTATATTTGACAGATGATTGAATATTCCTATTTACTCCTGTATGCCTGAACCCAAAATATCTTTCATGTTAAGATGTCTGAATTTATTTATTAACAGATCTATTTTTCCTGAAGCAAGGCAAGTAAAATGAGAGCTGAAAACATATTTCGCCCCATTGACTCCTGATTCAACAATTTTATTCATTTTAATCAAAGTCGCCATTTTCTGTTTTTTTTTTCTTTCTTAATTTTGGATTGAATAGTCCTCAATATCAGAAAGTACAAGTGAAAAGATTTGTTTTAAATCATTTCTATTAATACAGATAATTAAATATTCGTAATAACGATCAATACATAGGGTTTGTCATAATTTCAAACTTGAATGCATTAAATGCAAGAATCACATAGCCCCCCTATTCCGGATCAAAAAAAGAAGATACTATCGTTTCTATAATAAAAATTATCCTCTTTTTGGTTTGGCAAGTTTCTGTGTTTCTGCAAGATTTAACACAATTGAAAGTTATCAATTTTCAGATTAAAAACAGGAATGAGTTCATCATTTTCGTAAAGACTATATAACTTCACTATTGTGATCTTAAAAGAGTCCCTTTTATGATGAAAATGCTACGTTTTCTTTTTAATTGCATACTAAATAAAGTACCCGAATCTTCAAAAACGACACAAAAACAGTTTTTAAAATTCATTTTCTCATCTCAACATGTACAATAAGACCCATACAATTGTGGAATAGAAAGACGACATTTAAATAATCTTTTGTGCATTTGATGTTGTTATGAAGCAAATAGTTTTACCAGTAGATTTAAACTATAAACTTATTAAGTAAAAAGGGTCTACACTGCGTAATTCTTGTATTTCATGTCCTTTTATCTACCTATAATCATAACTTGAGTCTAACAGTCGTCTTCCTATTCCATAGATTATAGGTCTCACTGTATATATATAATTTTGTTTAGTTGTAACTTTCACTTTTAAACAAGTAAATATATAAATAATAGTATCTCTGTAATTCTTTGATAATTATTGTTCAATTCCTGATGTAAATAGTAACTAAAGAAATCAATTAGAATTTAATTAAAAGTTTAACTTAAATGTTTTCATAAAAAATCCTTAATGTCAATAAATGATATTTTCTCTTAAAACATAATAATGATAGTAAGATCATATTAGACTGTCTAGAAATTAATTGTACCGATTTTCCTTTTTGACGATATTTTACATTTTGTTTATTAAATTTCAATTAGCAGTATACTGTGTATAAAAGTGGGCAAAACTTTTCAATTAGATTTAAAAGAACTGTCATTTTATTTTTAAATGGCATTCAATTTAACGCTTATTTTACAATACTACCATATAAATCTTAACCTTACCCAAATTGGGTTATATATGGGAGTGGAGTTCGGTGGGGGGGGGGGGGGGGNTACAAAAACCCCTTTTTTGGGGGGAAAACGCAAAATATTGAATCGTTCTGGCCTTCATTGGTAACTCTGGTAATTTTCTATTCTAGTCTATTTTTATGGTTTTGAATTTCTTGTTAGGTAAAAATACAAAGAAAACTTTGCCACTTAAATTAAATACTATTCAGGATTCTCCCAAACCTTATTTAGAAATTTTAGAAAAACTAGAGTTAAATTACAAAATAAAAATATAATAAATAAAAATAATTTAAAAAATTTACTTAAAAAGAATAAAAATTTGAAATTTAAATTAAAGAATTAAAAAAATAATAGATTTTGAAGGGTAAGAATATATTTTAAATGATATGGAAACTGATCACAATAATTCCATTGATATACATATAGTTGATATCACAGTCATTTCAATAATGATATAAAATACAATACAATCATAATTCTCATAAACACGACAAATTATAAAGTTTACATTAAAACACAAATAAAAAAGATGTTCCAAAAAATCTGCCAGATCTGCAAAAAAACTAGTGTTTTTTTGCAAATATTATTTTTTTAAAAACATTATCTTCAAGGTTCTGTAGATGAAATTTCAAGTGACCCTCAATTTATGTCTTATTCACAACGGTACCGATCAAGGATGAATGAGATGTCCTGATTCAAAAACTGATTTTTTCAATTGTACATAGACAATGAAAGAAATTGTAAGAGCTCAAGACAGAAAAACGACGATATCTTCCTTTATGTAACTCAGATAGAGAGAGGTTCAAAGGTTTACGTTGTTAATTGGACATGCCGAAGGATCACCTAAAATTACGTCTGCAGTGTCTTAAGTACTTTGGACATGGTGTTTATTTGAAGAAATGAACGAGACGCAGTTTTTGGCTTTTTGTAATTAAATATTTAATATTTAACATTATTCTTTTAAATGCATTATTTGAATACTTTTTTATATTACATGCATCACGCAGCAGATAAAAAAACTTGAAATAATATTACTAACATTTATATTTGAGATAGAACCTTTTAAATAGAGGCTAGCAGTTAAACTTGTCTCTAAAATGAGCTAAAGTTAATATACCTCTAACTTTAATGGGTGGGGTGCTAGGGAGAGTTTAAAAAAAGTTTTTTAAAAATGTCAAGGGATTTTCAAATAAAGAAATTTTAGATATGCAGTTTTTTTTAATAAAAAAGTTGTTCACTTATTAGATTTTTTGGAACACCGACCAGCCGTTTGACCGTCCTCCACTCCACCCTACCCAATCTATTAAATTTTTTTTTTGTTAAATTTGTTCACAACTATGAAGTTGAAAAAGTGATTAAGTTTGAACGTTCTATAAGTGTAAGTTTATAAAGTTATAAAGAAATAAATCACCCCATCGTGATATGGTCAATATGTTCAATAATGTGGAAAGCTGTACAATTCTGTTGATTTCTCCATTGTTTGAAGAAAGAAATGTGTCTAAGTAGATGAACCGTAAATAATGAGTTTTCAAAACAAAAACATGGATATAGATTAATAACAAAACAGATAGATCGCTATATGTCGTCTATTCAAGATTTTTTTTTCATTAACAATTACCCTGAGGCAGAGGGCAAAAGGAGTTACTCGCTGCTCTCTCTCTGTCTTGTAATTCAACACGGCATACGCGTAACTTCTTTGGGCTTCTGCCTCAGGATTATTATGAACGAAAAACCCATAAATCTTGAAAAGACGACATCTAGTGTTCTATCTGTATTGCTATTAATCTATGGGCATGGAAACCTACTTCATACTTAATCAAACAAAGTTCTTAACGGTACCGTTGTCACTCAGAAATGCTATTTTATCAAATAAAGATTAAACATTTAAACGTTAATACTACTACGTTCATATTTTCTTAATATTTTCTATTTCTTCAATTATAATTTGTACAAATTATCGGACCTCATGTAAAGGAAACTGGGGATTTTTTATATTTTTTCGAATCCCTGTATCTAAAGATCTTTATTTTCCTGCCTCGCTATTGGCGGAGTTGTCCTTAGGGAGGCTGCAATTCGAGGCCAACTCCCAGGGGAATTGTTTCATTGGTGGAAAGATCCCCAGGGAGGCTGCAATTGGAGATCAAGTCCCATGGGAAATTTTTCATTGGAGGAAAAATCCCCAGGGAGGCCGAAATTGGAGGACAAGTCCCTGGGGAATTTGTCATTGGTGGAAATCTCCCCACATGAAGAGGCTGTATTTCGAGACCAGGTCACAGAGGAATACAATATTTGCTAATTGGTCTCTAAAGGAAGAGAACTTTTGAATTTTTCCGGAAAACAACACACATATTTCGAAAAGAGGACTTTAATACTTTATATTATCAATATCATCACACAATCGAGTAATTTTTAAAAAGATTCAATATATTACCTTTGCAAGATTCACAGAATTTACAAAAACCCCTTTTTTGGGGGGAAAACGCAAAATATTGAATCGTTCTGGCCTTCATTGGTAACTCTGGTAATTTTCTATTCTAGTCTATTTTTATGGTTTTGAATTTCTTGTTAGGTAAAAATACAAAGAAAACTTTGCCACTTAAATTAAATACTATTCAGGATTCTCCCAAACCTTATTTAGAAATTTTAGAAAAACTAGAGTTAAATTACAAAATAAAAATATAATAAATAAAAATAATTTAAAAAATTTACTTAAAAAGAATAAAAATTTGAAATTTAAATTAAAGAATTAAAAAAATAATAGATTTTGAAGGGTAAGAATATATTTTAAATGATATGGAAACTGATCACAATAATTCCATTGATATACATATAGTTGATATCACAGTCATTTCAATAATGATATAAAATACAATACAATCATAATTCTCATAAACACGACAAATTAAATGATAATCTTTAATATTTTCTTTTCAGTTTCTCATATTGGTCAACTGGTTTGGAGACTGGTTTGAATGAGAGATCAACAATTAGACTAAATAATAATGGATCACGATATTTAAATATAAGTACAATTTATAAATCACACAGGACATTTAATTGGGTTGAGTAAAGAGTTCCCAACGCAAGTGGATTTTACTTGTGCGCAATTGCGGGCTCTGTAATTTCCTCGCAATTCCGCGCAAAACGAAAACAGTTGCGTGCAATTCCGTACAGTTGCGCGCAATGCCGCGCAAAGGAATTCTGATTGGAAACCCTAGTTGAGTATTTTGTTTCGAAAACATGTTCTGCATATTTTAACAGTTTATTGACTTCTTGAATAAAAATCTATAAAATTATTGAACATTTTTTTGACCTGAGCTTCTCTGTGTTAATTATCTATAGATAATATCATCTTTAACGTAAAAGCATATTTACGTAGATAACATTTTCTACGTAAATGCATATTTACGATTAGTTTTATGTATAATTTTAAATTTCAATTGTTAGTATTATGCATTTGTTGTTTAAATTTTACTTTTTTTCACATGCATTTGTACAATTTGCCAATTTAGTTTACAATATCCATGTACAAATACTATATAGTATATTGACGTATTCTGTTTATGTACAAGAAGAGGGTAGAGAGAAGTGACCCATTGATCCAAAAGGAACCAGCCCTGCCATTCCTGAAATTTTTTATTTGCATTTGAAGTTAAAGAATACTGCTGTGAATAAAAAGAAATACACTTAAAATATGAAGGATGGAGAAAGGAAGCTGAATGAATATACTTACTAGAGGAAGGAAGGAGAAATGAAGCTAAATGAGTTTACTTACTAGATGAAGGAGGAGAAAGGAAGCTGAATGAGTATACTTACTAGAGGAAGGAAGGAGAAATGAAGCTGAATGAATAAACTTACTAGATGAAGGAGGGAGAAATGAAGGTGAATGAATATACTTACTGGATGAAGGAAGAAGAAAAGAAGGTGAATGAATATACTTACTAGATGAAGGAGGGAGAAAGGAAGCTGAATGATTGTATGTATAGCTGGAAGATCCAAGGTAGTCTAGAGTTGAACCTGAACTCATGGAGCGAGGATAACCTCCAGAAACATCTTCTAGAAGAAAAAACCTAATACAACATTTCTCAGTTGGTTCTTAGAGCTCCCACCCCCCCTTTTTAAATCTGACTTTCCACTTTGCTCCCCTTATCTTTCTGTCCCCTTTTCTTCAGGCCTAAAGCAGGGGGGGGGGGGGACTTTTTGTGCTTTGTGGACAAAAAAACATCCCAAACTTTTGCCATTAATAGATAAGTTAAGAAATGGTTTAAATTTGAATTCCAATAAGTTTTACTTCTAAAAATTTGTCTTCCATTGCATGGTATTAAAGTTGTTTTATTCATAAATAGTTTTTCTTTTAATTTTCGCCATTTAAAAAGAATTTGTTTTCACCTTCTGGAGTCCATTGAGAGTTAGGTGTGTCTTGAACACTGCCAGCTAATTGCCCTAAACAAAGTGTTTTAAAACAATCTCCTGTAATATACAGGGTGTCCCACGAAACATCCCGGAGATATCCATAATTTTATTTAGGAAAATTTATTTTTCAAGCTAAAAAAACGACAATATCTTCCGCATTTTTGATCAGATTAATTGTTACCGCTAATGTTAATCAGGCATTTTTTCCGATTTTAAATGAAAAGCTATTTGGAATTATAAGGTGCATATTTTCTTTATTAAACATGTTTATCTAACCTGAATAAGAGTTGAATCCCGGCATATTCTGTGGAATTGGCGGAGATCTTGGTGAAGCCAGGCTCAGCTGATTATTTCGGGGCATACTGAACAGGTTTATTAGTCAGCTGATTATTTCGGGGCATACTAAACAGGTTTATTAGTCAGCTGATTATTTCAGGGCATACTGAACAGGTTTATTAGTCAGCTGATTATTTCAGGGCATACTAAACAGGTTTATTAGTCAGCTGATTATTTCGTGGCATACTAAACAGGTTTATTAGTCAGATGATTATTTCGTGGCATACTATAACAGGTTTATCAGTCAGCTGATTATTTCGTGGCATACGAAACAGGTTTATCAGCCAGCTGAAAATTTCAGGACATACTTAACAGGTTTATCAGTCAGCTGATTATTTCGTGGCATACCAAACAGGTATGTCAGTCAGCTGATTTCTTCGGGGCATATTTAACAGGTTTATCAGTCAGCTGATTATTTCGTGGCATACTGAACAGGTTTATCAGTCAGCTGATTATTTTGTGTCATACTGAACAGGTTTATCAGTCAACTGATTATAAAAGTGATTTATCCCTTAATTTTTATCTTATTTTATTATCACCACGGTATACGGTTTGCACAAGATGGAGATAAATGCTTGATCCCGAGATTTAAACACAAGAGTTCTGACCTCTGTCCACAATCTTATTTACACAATAGGGCATTGAGGTGTAGGATATCTTAATCTCGATATTCACTTGGGGAACTTTTGTTTCAGGGTTAATGCTTAATATCTTCATTTCAGTTATTCTTCCAGGGTACAATTACCATGTGGGATATCGAATATAAATTTGATTAATATGCGGAATATTAAAAGATTGAGATCAAGCATTGATGTCAATATCCACAATAAAAGAGGTTCCAGCTCTAAACAGTTTAAATGTTCCAATGAATACCTGTAAAGCGCTTCTGCAAGGTCTGCTGCTCTCTTAAGAACTATTTCTTTTGGAAGTTTCTCTGGATCTCCAGGATGTCTGGGAACTAGCTTTCCCAGTCGTTGAAATCCGTAGTCTATAGTTGGTTCAGTCAATGCTAAACGAAAAATATGTCAGATTTAAAAAAGAAAAACAAGTTTTATTTTAGTGATCTTTCGAAGAAATCTGAAATTTATAAAACACATTTCCAATGTTATCCAAAAAAGGTTGAGATTAAATGAATCGTCAGAAACTTTGATTTTGGCTCTCCAAAGAATTTTGTTAGATGACAATATTTGAATTTCTTAGAGTGTTCTCATTTTCAAAACAGAGTTCGTACTGCAAAGATTACCAGACCCTGCAACCGTTTTTATTTTTGCAGTACGAATTGTACACAATCACATGATATTATATAACGAATTTCTGAATTGTCTATTTGCTGTCTGATCTACGTTAGATCGAATATCTTTGGTCTTCAGAGACTGAAATTAACACTTACACACATAGATGAATCTACCAGGAGCCCCTTTACAGAACATTTTAGATTTATAGGACAGTGTAACCTCAACCACACCAGGAATATGCCTGCAAAATACAGCATCTATATATATATAAAGTAGTAATCTCTGTTTGCCTGTCTTGATGTTTGTTTGTATGTTAACCGAATTGAATCGATTCCTATTTTAATTTGGCCGGGAACTAGGAAGAACCAGTTGAAATGTTCTGAGATTGGTTTCAAGTTAAGTTTGTCGACTTTCATAGAGACATTTTAGTTTCCAGGCAAAGCTGGTTTCTCATGCTAATGTTAAATTTGATTTTATCAATAAATTTATAATTAAAGTACACTAATATATCGTTCACTCAGTAAGGTCTTTGGTAAGGATGGGGTATCGAATTACGAGGTCCGTTTTTTAACATTCAAGGTTTTTTTTTCTATTACTCTAACCTTTCTCCAATTACAAGGCTGTACAAGAATCTGAGATATATTAATTTAAAAATTGTTTTGAAGCTGCATTTTAGATAATAAAAAAGGGATGAAATGAAACTTTTTAGCATGTATAAAATTATTTTTGGCTTAGGTCCTTGGTAATTTTTTAACATGTAATTTGGGGGTTTTACTACCTTGGAGGAGTTTGAACTCTGATGGCATGACTAGTAATCATTTCACTCCAAACTAACATAGTTCCAAATACAACCTAGATTTATAAATTGTCGATTCTATAGTTCCAAATACAACCTAAATTTACAAATTGTCGATGCTTTAAAATCTCTAAAATCAGCAAATCATTTAACAGTACATTTAAAGCCAATTCTTAATTCAAAATACGAAATTAAACCATCTATATATTTATTTTTTATAGATGTTTGGTCATCATTAAAGTCTCATTGTTTGTTATTAACCATTTAAACAAAAAAAACATTTGAAGAAAAGTGAGGATTGGCTGAATTGCGTAGACTTAGTTGAACTACATCTATTGTGCGCCGGTTCAAGCTGAAGTAAAGTGGTTCAACTTCGTCTACCCAGTTCAACCATAGTGATGACTATTCATTAAATCTATTTTTTAAAATCTTCCCAATAATATTATCTAATCATTACAAAACGCATTTTCTTTCTTTACCTGCAAGCCGTCGAAGAAGTTAACATCCTTCACTTGGAGATATTGCCTTGATGCATGGTATTGATGCCGAGGGAGGATAAAGGCCGGGATACAGGGCTGGCATATCTTAGTGGTTAGTTCGTACAAAAATAAAGTTTAGACATTTTTTATTCTTTTCATTTTTTATTCTTTTCATTTTTTGTTTATCATTGACGAAACTTAAATTAAAGACAAATAATTACTTAAAGAGACCCGTAGACGTAAAACTTCAAAAATACTAAGATTCAAATTATTTAAAATTCAGCTAAAGAACTACCAAAAACAATATTTCATAAAAGCAATAAATAAATACTTACAATTGTAATATTTTCCGTCTGTCGGATCTAATCTTTTAGCTCGTCTACCGTGCTAAACAAAGTAAAAATAATTAAGATTAGAATTTTATATTTTTAAACGCAAATGGAGTCTAAATTAAAAAAGATAATGTATATGCACAGAGCACACACTATTAAGCGTTAGATTAGGGTAAGATAGATATAAATAGCCACTTATTTTGCTGCTTTTCAAAAGGAAGGGGAAGGGGTCTATTGTAAAAGGATTTTACCCGAAAAAGGATATTAAAATTCTTCTAAAAATTCTAATATTATTTTGTAAATTATACCTTAGAGTTATTGTGCACAAACATATTATCAGAAATAGCTAACAAACTACCCTCTACGCTGGCAATGGGCGACAATACAACCTAAAGATAGTTATTTTAAACGTATTGTTAGAGCTAGCTTTCATTACAATAGAAACAAATAATGTACAGTGTCAGAAGTCGGTGATTATATTAATACAATGAAGACGACATTTTATGAATTGTGCGTTTATCCCTAAAAATTGCATTTTTCAAATTAAAAGTTTAGAAGGAAACACAGAAAAGTTTTTCTTTGTTTATGTGTATCCATTTTGAAAGCTTGGTAGAAAGCTAAAATTGAAATCGAAAGTTGTCTTCACTGTATTGATATATACAAGTAGTAAAACCTTAACCTTACATTTGCTCACCTCCTGATCGAGAATCATGTTTTACAAAATAAAGAATAAGTTAGTTTTTACTTTTCTGATAAAATATAAAAATCCCAAAGTTTACTGTTTATTGACAGTTATACTGAAATATTGGATTGATTGATAGATAGATAGATAGATAGATAGATAGATAGATAGATAGATAGATATATAGATAGATAGATAGATAGATAGATAGATAGATAGATAGATAGATAGATAGATAGATAGATAGATAGATAGATAGATAGATGGATAGATAGATAGATAGATATATAGATAGATATATCGAACCTGAAATCTTCTCATATCCCTGGGATTTCCGGCGTTTTTGAGACAGTTTTGATTACATTTCAGGAAAAATTTCAGGAAAAATCTAAATAAAGTTTTTATTTTAGTTTGACATTTAAATCAGAGATATATTCATGTTACTACTTCAGCTGAATTAAAAATGATGGAACAGGGTTTAATCTCTGAAAATCTATTTTTGTATTTATTCAAACCTTGAGATGAATGTAAAACTGTGTAAATTAATTGAGTTTAATCTGAATTTAGATAAAAATTCGCTCCTCTGCAGAAAAGCAATTACTTGTATAAATATTTTGCGAAACCTGATCCGCCTATAAAGAAAGAAATATGATCCAAGGATAATTTGCACAAAATTAGCAATCATTAGATTTTGCAAGCTGACGGGGTCTTTGCAATATTACATTTGAATATTTTTTAAGTACTTTTTAATTTATATTTGTTTGACCAAAAAATGTGAAGATTTATTTCTTTACTTTTGGTTTATTTTTACTCTTTTTTAAATGTTTTTTGTATGTTTTCTTGCTTTGTGCTTTTATACTTTTTTATGAAATATAAAATTTAACAATTATAAACAATTATAAGTTTAGCTTTATTAAATTTCAATTATATATAAAATCTTTTTATTTTTCATTTGTTCTACCTGTCAATAATAACAGGGTCCGAGGGTGTCTCGTTTCTATTCCCACAAGATTTTTTCTCACAGCATCGGCTAGAACATTTACATTTTCTTGCTTAAAGGGACTGTAAGCGTAATTTCAAGTAATCCTCCATATAAAGATGGCATTTCCACTTCATGCAGGAAAACATATAGAAATTATCAAAATTAAACACTTTTAATCCTAGATAAACATTTCCACATTTTTTATCATGCAAACATATTAAGGATACCATTGTGAATCAAGCATTGGAATCTTAATTATATGGAGCAAATAGATTATAGTACAGTAGATGGCAAGGTATTATTTGTATTCTATCAAACAGCTGTATTCTGACGTCACAAGTGTCAATTCAGTTTTAGTGATAATTTTAGAATAAAGTTCTTTATTTTCTGTTTTTACACTTTTTTATTTAATCTTGGAAAGCTTGTCAACTAATGCGAGCAAATTTGTTTTCCTTGTTTTTTTTTGACGCTTGGTCAATTTCTCTATTGCTACCTATTGTACTTGATAATCTATTTGATATAGATGGCCATTTTTTACATTTCGGCCTGGTTATATTACACTTAATTCCCACCACTTTCAAGTATGCAAATATGTTATGCACATCTATTTTATTTAAATTTCACGGTCTCTAATGCATGCAAGCAACCCTAATTTTTCCAACATCATATGACCCCTCATAAAACACTAGTTTCACCATGTTGCTTCTTGCTAGAAAATGTAATCAAGTCCAAACTATTTATTAATATGTATGAAAAGGGGTGTATGTAAATCATTTCTTTAGGAAATATGTTTGGATATTCAGAAATATTGAGAATAAACTAGATTATAAATATGAGATATAGAGGTAGGAGCAAGAATACGGGATCAGTCGGAAGGGAATGGGGATAAGGGGGGGGGATTATATCTACACTCAACACTCTACACTCTACACTCTACACTCTACACTCTACACTCTACACTCTACACTCTACACTCTAC